CCCCCCAGTTCCCCCAGGCTGGAGCTGCCCTGGCGGGTGCTGTCCCACCATAGACACCCTTGTCGAGGAGGAGGAGGAACTCGTTGACAGCCATCTGCATCTCAGCCTTGCACAGGTCCAGCAGCGAGACCACCTTGAAGTCGAGCTGGCGGAGGAGGGCACTGAGGGCATGAACGTCCACCATGGGCGCCTGCAGCTGCTTGTGGTGCAGGTAGTGCATGTTGCCGATCAGCAGCGCCACTTTGTCCGTGGCTGCAAGGATGGGAGAGGGAGGTCTTGAGAAAGGGGTAGGATGCTTCTGCTGTCCCCACTACCATTCAGCCCACAGAGGTGACACCCAGCTGTGGCCAGCATCACTGTCCCCGGGTATTGAAATGCCCTGTGGTGTCCCTGCCTCGCTGATCCCTGAACCGTGGGGGTAGGGTTGGAGGTTGGAGTTAGGGATTTGGGTTGGGAGTTAGAGTGCTGATCCACTCTCCTGGTTAAGGCTGGGGTGCTGCTTTGCTCTCCCAGTGCGCTGCACCCAAAGAACCCCTGGCCGAGCAAAGCCTCCTGGGGTGACAGTGGTGACACTGGGGACAGTCAGAGCCACCCAGGGCCACCACCCCCTCCTGGGCAGGCTCTTACCATACAACTGGCCGGGATTGCCACACTCTGGGGCACCTGTGAAGAGAGAAACACCATGCCAGGGCCCTCCAGTGCCAGGGGAGCGTGGTGGGCAGAGCAGCACGGACCTGCCCTCTCTGCACACACCTACCTCCATCCCCTTCCTGCCAGGAGCCTCCAGAGGTGAAGAGCCGTGGGCCTGTGGCAAAGGGGGGGTCAGGGATCGTACGCATGGCAGCACCTCCCAGCATGGGCTGCAGCCCCCCAAAACTGCAGAGCAGCCATGAGGGCTTAACGGGGAGCAGGGCAGGGTCAGGACACCCCATGCAGGGAGAGAGTCACAGAGGTTTGTCCGGGGCCCTCACCGATCTCCACATCTACCTCCTGGCTCCACACCTCATGGAACAGGTTGAACACTCGGCAGCAGTAGCTGCCCCGCTCGGCCGTTGTCACCAGCTTCACCTGCCAGTGGGACGGAGCGGGAGGCTGGGGTGGTGTGTCGGACCACACTGCACTGTGCCACGCTGTGCCGTGCCGTGCCAACACTGTGCCGTGCCAGGGGACCCACCATACCTGGAGCTGAGGTGCCTGAGCCCCCTCCACAGGACGTCGGTTCCTGAACCACTGGTACTGGGGCGGGGGGTTGCCGATGGCTCTGCACTCCAGCGCCAGCGTGTCCCCCTCGGCCAGGCGGCACGGCCGTGGCTGCCGCAGGATCTGCAGCCCTGCCATGCTCGGGCAGTAGCCACTGGCTGGGGAAGGGACAGGGTGGCAAATTCAGCACCCAGCCATGGCAGCGCTCAGCAGAGCTGCTCCAGGCCCCAAGTTCCTCACTCATAGGCCCTGGCACCCAGGGGTAGCATGAGGCATTGTGCAAGAGGAAGACACAGGGCATGTGGCTCCTCTGTGGGCACTGTGACCCCAGCAAGCCGAGAGACCCTTGTGGCTGAGCCAGTGACTGACAGGGCAAGCAATGCCCCTCAGGATCCATCCCTGTCCCAATGGGGCCAGCGGTGCCCTGTGGGAGCTGCCCTGTTCCCAACAAGCGGTGCTGCATGGGTGCTAGCCAGGGATGCAGATCTAGGAGCCCACCTGAGCTGGGGCTGCTGCTCTTCTCCACCTGGACGTGGGCCCACCTGGAGAAGGCGAAGGTGGCCCCACAGTTCACCCGGCAGATGTACCACTCGGGCTGGCCCGGCGGGGCGGCCGTGTCGATCACCAGCTCTGGGGATGTGGCTCCAGGCACCTACAAGACAGGAGGTGGCCAAAGAGTCAGGGGCTCCCTCTTACCTGTGTGGGTGCCCTCGCTGTGGACAGGGCACGGGGGCCCTGCTCCACATGGCACAGCGGGGCCTCACCTCCCGTTTCCCACAGAACCACTGGTACATGAGCCCCGGCGGGCCGGTGGCACAGCAGGTCAGGGACACTCGTGTCCCCTCTGCCACCACCTGTGACTCCGGCTGCACCGTGATGCGGATCATGTCCTGGACTGCAGGAGAGGAGACAACCGTTCCACACCATCCCATCCCATTCAGTCCCATCCTATCCTGTCCCATTGTACCCTTTCCCATCCCCCCCAACAGCCTGCCCAAGCCCAGCCGAGCCCAGCCCATCCTATCACATCCTCTGTCCTGTCCCAACCATCTCATCCTATCTTGTCCCATTGGTACATTCAGTGCCATCCCACCTCACCCATTTTATCCTGTTCCAATCTATCCCACCCCGCTCTGCTCCATCCTATCCTATCTCATCCCATCCCATGCTGTCCAAACCTGTTCCATCCCATCCCATCTGACCCCATCTCAGCCTGTCCCCCATCCCATCAGACCACATCCCATCCTACCTCACCCTGCCGCATCCATCCCACCCCTCCCCACCCGCCCAGGATCCCTCTACCATAGCACAGCCCCAACAAGGAAGAGCCGCCCTTCACCTCATCCGCTTCCTCCCGCTGAGCCCCCGTCCCCGGTGGCCCCTCCAGCCCCGCGGTTCCCGCTGCCCGTCCGTACCGGCGGCGCTGAGGACCCGGCAGGCCTTTGTGTGCCCCATCTGCTCCAGGCAGCCCAGCAGGTACTTGAGGGTGCAGTCGCGCTCGGCCAGGAGCTGCAGCAGGCACTGCGTGGGGCTGCCGCGGGGCTCCAGCACCTTCAGCGAGCACATCTCCAGCTCCTCCGCGCTGCGAGCGCCCGCGGCCGTCAGTGCCCCCTCCCTCCCGGGGCGGGCGGGCCCCCGCCAGGGCTCTCGGGTGTCCCCTGCCCAGGGGATGGCTCTGGGGACCCACGCGCCCCTCGCCCGGCCCACGGCAGGGCTGTGCCCACCGGCATTTTGTCACCCGGTCGGGGACAGCCCCCGGCGATGCCCCCCCAGCCCTACCTGCACTTGAAGCGTTTCTCAGCCCCGGCCAGCTCAGCCAGCTTGCGCCAGCCCCGGCCCGCGTTATCCAGGAGCTCACACAGCCGGGCCACCACCTCCTCGCCCAGGGCGCCGATGGGCACGCTCCAGTCCCCCATCCCTGCTGGGGACACCGAGGGATCGAGCCGTCAGTGAGTCACAGGGTGACAGGGTCCCACTGGACACCGCCGGGCACAGTGTGCCTCAGCAGGGAGAGCACCAGCATGAGCTCACCAGCGTCAGGTCCCCTCCTAGCAGGAGCCTGGGGAGGTGCTGGGAACCAGCTGGGCAGTGCTGCTGGATCTGGCCACCGGCAGCCAGCCAGGAATGTCACACACTCTCCCTCCATGAGCTGTGACAGCACCCTGGGGAACCCCACTCACCCCCCAGCCTCAGGCAAGGAGCCAGGGCATTTTAACCCAGTCCCAAGAAAGGGACTTCATGGAATTGGGGTCCACAGAACTGGAAAGAGGGGATGTCCCCTTTCACCTTCCCTGTCCCTTCAGGGACCACAGAGAATGGGGCCCAGGGGCACCTCTCCCCCTGGCAGAGGCCCCAGTGGGACAGCAGCAGCCCCCTCGTTGGCACGAGTCCTCTGTGTGGTGGCTCCAGAGCCAGCACAAACCTTTCCAGGCCACCAAGAGGGGCTGTGGAGGGGTCAGGGGAGGGTATGCAGGGGTCCTGGGGCTGGGACCCATCTTAGCTTGCCCTGACCTGGGAAAGGTTTTGACAACGAGGGGAGCATGGCATGAATCACGTGGACAGGGGCAGCACCCAGGGAACAGCTCCTTCCTCCTCCCCTCAGGTCCCTCCCCAACAACCTGCCCCAGAGGAGCACTTGCCCCCAGGACTGAGCTGCCCAGGGCAGCTGGGTGACACTCACCCAAGCAGGGGGCTCCAAGACGGAGGGCAGGGATCCAGGTGCTCGCTCTGCTCACCTTCTGCTGGACTTGGGGGGCTGGACACGCTGGAGGTGGTGAGGGGAGGGCAGGGCACAGGACAGGCCCGGCGGGACGGGCACTCACCGCGTGGTACAGCCGGATGAGTCTCGGCAGCTCTGAGGGTGTGCACCCAGCCCCACGCAGAGGAAATGAGGGCTCAGCCCAAAATCTGCCCCGGCCCCCACGCTGCAGCACAGCACTTCTGCTTCCCTCCGCCTTCCTTCCTGTTGTGGGGCGTGTGGGTGCGCAGCTGCCACGGGGTGCCCACGTGGGCACCCACCCACAGCCCCCCAGGGAGCCAGGCACAGCCCCCAGCCCTGCTGCAGGGCACGGGGCACCAGGGACACTGCCGGGCTGGGCAGGGGCTCCACCGCCCCCTCCTTGCTATGGGGGGACCTTGTGGGCGGCTGTTTGTCCTCACAGCCCAACTCGAGCCCAGGCAGGAGCTGCAGGGCAGCAAGTCCAGGATGGAGGTGAACCAAGGTGACGGGGGCACCTCTCAGCCAGGTGAGACCAACACAGGGGCAGGACCACGGCTGGGGAAGCTGCTGGGCTTTGCCAGGCCAGAGCCAGGTGAGGACAGGCAGGGACAGGGCAGCGAGGGCCCAGCTGCTGTGAGGAAGACCCTGCCTCCACCATGCAGCCCAGTCCAGCCCTTGCATCCCAGCACCGCTGCTCCTGCTGCCAAGGGAGGAAAGCAGAGCAAGGGACCACTGTGTCCCCCCTCACCTTGCCTGCTGCCTGGCAGCACCACCAGAGCCTGGTCCTCCTGCCCCCAGGAGCACAGGCTGCTCAGCCCCCAAGACCCCCAGCCAGAGACGCAGTGACAACGGGGTGAGGGGGGGCATCCCCTCCCACCCCCCTGTGGAGCCCTTAGACTGAGGTACAGACAGTGATGGAGCACGACCTGTGTGTGGTGTGGGCTCCCTCCATGAGCCAAAACCTGAGCTTCTGCCTTTGCAAACACACCCAGAATTTGTGTTGCCTCAGCCCCTGGCACAGAGGGGGACCCACACCAAGCGTGTCAAGGTCCCAAGTTTTACACAGCCTTTGTAACAGATATCAGTCTCACTCCAGATTTATTTCTTGTTTATATCAAGCGACCAAAAGCAGGAGCGGGTCCCAGTGCCACCTGTGCTGGTGCGTGGGGCAGCCCCGAGCTTGGCAGCACCTAAAACTTCTTGCCCTTCTTCAACTTGTTGCGCTGCCACGTGTTGTATTTCCGCAGCCGCCTCCAATACTCGAGCGTGTCAGGGTCCAGCTCCTCCAGCTTCTTGGGGGGCCCGAGGTGGATCTTAAAGAGCCTGGGGGCGAATGCAGAGGATGTGAGGCTACGGGAAGGAGGGAAAAAGGGACAAGGACGGGACACAGCCGCGGACGTGAGTGACCAGGACGTGCAGATCCCTCACCCCCACATCCACAGTGCACCCACTCCTGTCTCCCTGACCCCAGGAAGGTCCCTGGGCTGCAGAGGGGCAGTTGCCTCCTCCCAGAGCACTTCGCTGTCCCTGTGCCTCTCGGACGGCACCTCTGTGGGGACACGGAGGGGAACGGGGCAGCACCCACCAGTCGGGGTACTCGGAGTCGGGCTTCAGGGCCACCTCCGGGCCCTCCTTGAAGTAGTTGACCCCCATGGCGTGGGTGGCGAGCATGGTGGGGTCCGTGCACACCTCAGGCCCCTTCAGCGCCTCCTTGGGCGCGCCCTTGCCCTTGGCCTTGGCGGCTGTGGGGACAAGGGGAGGGTCAGAGCAGGGGCGACAGGGATGCGGGTGGGGGAAAGGACGGGGCTCGGGGGCAGGGGCACCGCGGGGCGGGAGCGGGGCTGGGTCAGGGTCGAGGGGAACCGGGTGTGAGAGAGGGAGCCGGAACAGGAGCGAGGGGCACGAGGGACGGAGGCGGGGGGGCCCGGGGGCCCGGGGGGACGCGGGGCGGGGAGCACGGGCAGGGCAGAGCAGGGCAGGGCGGGGGCGGTGCCGGGTCTCACCGGGTTTCTTGGCGTAGCCGCGGGCCGGAGCCCCGAGCGCGGCCCCCGCCGCCCGCAGCAGCGCCCGGGCGGCCATGGGCGCGGGGCACGGCGGGACGGGCGGGGCCGCGCCTGCGCCTGCGCGCGGGCAACGGCGGCGGGAGCGGCCCGGCCCGGCCCGGCGGCAGCGACGGACCCCGCCATGGACAGCGGCACCACCGCCATGGACTTCCAGGCGGCCCCCGGCGGCGGCGGCGGCAGCGACGAGCCTGCCGAGCCGCCCGCCATGGACACGGAGGACGGGCCGGGAACCCCTGGGCACCGCGCGGGGGGCGCGCGGCCGGACGGGCCCCCCCGCTCGGCCCCGCAGCCCGGCAGTGACCCCGCGCCGGAGGAGCCGCGGCCCGGCCCGGGACCCGCCGCGGCCCCGGAGCTCGCGGGAGGCGAACGGACCGGGCTGTGCCAGGGCTCGGGAAGGGCCATGGAGGCGGAGGCGATGCCCGCGGAGCCGCGGGGCTCTGCCCGCTGGGAGCCCAGCGCCGGGAGCGCCCCGCGGGGCACGGGGAGCTCTCGGGCCCCCGGCGGCGTTGAGCCCGCGGGCATGGAGCTGGATGAGACCCCCGAGACCCGCGGCCCCCCCGACACGGCCGGGTGGGCTGAGGACGCGCAGGACGAGCCCTCGGAGATCCAGGGGCTGCTGGCCCAGCTCGAGACCCTCGACCCCAACCTGTGTGACCGCCCGCCCGCCCCGGAGCGGGGCCCGCCGTCCCCCTCGGGTGCCGGTGCCCGGCGGTGCCCGGGCAGGTGCCGGCCCTGCCCGCTACACGTGGCCACGGGCCGGGGCCTGGCGACGCGTCCCTGCTGCCCCCAGCACCCGGCCTGTGCCCGGCCCTGCCACGGGCTGCTCTTCGCCGAGGCCGACCGGGAGGACTTGCTGAGCCTCCTGTGCTACGAGGGGGGGCTGCCCGAGGCCGGTGCTGAGACCCCCTTGGCCCGCTCCGATGTTCTGACTGGGACTAACCTGGAGATGCTGCAGGTCCGGGAGGATCCAGCCACTGTGGAGAAGCCTGAAAGGCCGGGGAGGCTAGAGAGCTTAGAGGAAGACCCTTCCGGCAGCTGGTGCTATGGAGAGGGGCTTTGCGAGGTTGATTCCACCTCTGAGGGCACTCGGGAAGGTTCGCCAGAGCCAGCGTGGGCGGCCCTGCCTCCCGCTCCAGCCCCCGAGGCAGAGCAGCCGCCACCTCCAGGCGCCGTGACCGTGAGTGCTCCGGTGTGGTGGGGCCGCAGGAGCCAGGACTTGCCCCTTGGCCCTGCTCCCTCCTCGGGTCTGGGCTGGGGGTGGAGGGGAGCCAGGGATTTCTTTCCTCGGGTCTTACAGGGCCTTGTGCTGCAAGTGTGCCCAGACAAGACCCTCGGTACCGGCTTTGGCTCCTACTGCCCTGAAGGCGGGGGGATACTTGCATGGCTGCCTGATTCGTGTGTGCCCCGGGGCAGAGGCTGGTGGGTCTGAACAGCCCCTCCGGCCCCTGGATCCTGTGCCATCCTCCCCTCCAGCCCCAGGACCCTGTGCTGTCTCCCCTTCAGCCCTAGGACCCTATTCCTCCCTGCCCAACCCTGGGACCCATTTCCCCCAGCCTCAGGGACGCTGTGCCATCACTGTGCCACTTCTCCAGGGCCAGGCAGACTAATCCCTGGGATGCCAACCACAGCCTCACCTGCTCTTTCGTTGCTTTGCAGAACAGGGAACCCCCATCATCCTGCCCAGCCTTCAAAGAGGGTGAGTTGCTTCTGTGCTCAAGCAGCAAGAGCATTCAAGAGTCCTGACCCACGTGCTCTGACCCTGAATGGGGGTGGCTGGGGGTCCCAGCTGGGGAGGGAGTGCCTGTCTCTGTGTCCATCCAGGGTGGCAACGTCGCTGCAGGCTCCAGATGGCTTGTTTGATGCTTTGTTGAGGAAGTTGAGGTGCTTCAGGGAGCAGGATGGGGGGATGCTCAGGAAGGGAGAACGGGATACCAGGTGTGCCCAAGAGAAGGGGGAAGCAGCATTGGTCCCCAGTGATGCCAGGAACCCATGTCCCAAGCACTGTGCTGCTCTGCCATGTGTAGGAATGCAGCTAATGGGCAGTAAGAGTTGGTACCCCCAGTTTCAGAGGTAGGGGAGCAGCCCCTGCTCAGTCCCTCCCAATGCCTCAGTTCCAGGCCCCTGTGACCCGGAGGATCTGCTGGACGGTGTCATTTTTGGGGCAAAGTACCTGGGCTCCACACAGCTGGTCTCGGAGAGGAACCCCCCGACCAGCGTCCGCATGGCGCAGGCCCAGGAGGCCGTGGACAGGATCAAGGTGCAGGAGGGGTGGGGGGCACAGCTGCCCCCAGCCTGGCCCCCCGTGGCCGTGGGGCAGCACTCGGGGCCTGCCCAGGGATACCTGGCTGTGGGGCTGGGACCCAGCGGGGTCCTGTGACCTCTCCATCGTCTCACAGGCACCCGAGGGGGAGTCCCAGCCCATGACAGAGGTGGATCTGTTCGTCTCCACGCAGAGGATCAAGGTGCTCACTGCAGACACGCAGGTGAGCGGGAGTGGCAGCACCCGTGTGCCTCTGGGGCTGCTGGAACCTTCCTGTTCGGCCTCGGGACCTCAGCTTTGTTCCCACACTGGAGGGGTTATGCCCAGGGATGGCCTGCAGTCGAGGACACACATCTGGGAGGGGAAATGTAATTCCACAGCCATCCTTTGTCGTGTCCTTGGCTCTCTGTGTGGCTGCACGAGGCTTCCCGTGCGAGCTGCGCCCTGGGGAGCTGCTGGGATCCCAGACCAAGCTCCAGGGAACCCAGGCTTGAAATCTTGGAAGCTTTTTGCCCCAGGATTACTTTCTGCATTATAGTAAGAGGGAAGGGCTGTCCTGTCCCCTGGCAGCACCCAGGGACACGGATGAGTCCCTGATGAAGGAGTTCTTTGTACCCAGTGGCACAGACGTGGTTTCTGCCCAGTGTGTGCCAGGCATTTGTGCTGCATCCCAGCACCATTGCTGAACCCCTCCTGCTCGCTGGGCTAACGGTTGCCCACAGGGCTGAACATCTCTGCCTGTGTCGCCCTTGCCAGGAGGCCATGATGGATCACTCCCTGCAGACCATCTCCTACATCGCCGACATCGGCTCCCTCGTGGTGCTCATGGCGCGCCGGAAGCTGCCCCGGCGCTCGGAGGTGGCAGAGGAGAAGCGGCTCTACAAGATGATCTGCCACGTCTTCCACTCGGCCGACGTGAGACCACACGCGGGTCCCTGGGGAGGGCAGGGTGGCCGTGGGGTCCTGGGCCCGTCCCACTGGGGATCTGTGCTGGGGGCAGCAGCAGAGACCTCTCCCTCCCCACAGAGAGAGGGCAGGAGCCCAGCCTGAGCATCTCTTTGGCACAGAGGGGCCCAGTGAGCAAAGAGGGGAGGATTGGCACTGTAGAGGGGCCCATTCAGGCAGGGAAGGAGCTTCCAGGGCCAGTGCCTGTGCTGGGCACTGCAGGGCATTGGGAGCTGTTGGCCCTGAGCCATGGGCAGGAACAATCCCTGTCGTTCTCCAGGCCCAGGTCATCGCCCAGGCCATCGGGCAGGCGTTTGGTGTGGCCTACCAGCGCTTCCTGGAGGCCAACAGCATCGACCCCAGCGAGCTGACCCCCCGCCAGTACAGCCGTGCCCTCGAGGACCAGGAGCAGTACAACGCAGAGCTGACCCACTTCTCCCGGCAGGAAAACTGCAAGGACGTAAGAGCTGCTCGGGGGAAGGAGGGCGTGGGGACCCTGCTGGCACCTCTGTGTCATCCTCTCCATGGCTCCCTGAACAGCTGAGGTGCTCCCTACAAACCAGACCCCATCCCAGCCGGCTGTGAGCACAGGACACCAGTGCTGGGCTGGGGCATGTGCCCTTGGCTCTGGTGACAATAACCCACCCATTCTGCTCCCAGGTCTGCATCCGGAAGCAGAAGGGGGAGATCCTGGGCATCGCCATCGTGGAGTCAGGCTGGGGCTCCATCCTGCCCACCGTGGTCATCGCCAACCTGATGCACGGGGGCCCCGCGGAGCGCTCGGGGGAGCTGAGCATCGGGGACCGCCTCATGTCTGTCAACGGGACCAGCCTGGTGGGGCTGCCCCTGGGCACCTGCCAGAGCATCATCCGGGTGAGCTGGGACGGGGTGACCTCCTCCTTCCTGCCACGGGGAGTGGCCTGAATGCTGGGATCCCCCCCGGTGCCCCCAGCTGTGGGGGCAAGAGTGCATGGGGGCTGTACCTGTCCTGTGGGCTGTGACAGTCCCTGCTCTGAGTGCTTGGGAGGAAGGGGTGTGACAAGGCAGGGACAGACCTGGGGACTGTACTTGATGTGGCAGGGTATGGCTGGGGTCCTTCCTGAGGAGGAGGGTAGAAGGAGGCAGGCACCTGTCTTGGAGGAAACCTGTTGTACCATCTAGCTCTCAGGCAGGAAGGAGCTGAAAGCAAGGACAGTGTGGCGTCGGGGGCAGAGTGCGAAGTCTTGGGCTGGGTTTATAAGTTCTTGTCCCTTGATTTGAGCATGGCAGTATCCCTGCGAGTACCTCAGTTTGAAAACAGGTTGCTAATCCTCAGCCCTCCCATGAGCAACTTGGCTGTGTTGTCCCTCCACCAGAGCTGAACAGCTCTCCAAAATCTGACCAGCCTTCATCCCCCCTTCCAGGAGCTGAAGCACCAGACCGAGGTGACACTGAACATCGTGCACTGTCCCCCTGTCACCACGGCTGTCATCCGACGCCCCGACTCCAAGTACCAGCTGGGCTTCTGTGTTGAGAACGGCGTGGTGAGTGCCTGTGGGATGGGGTCTGCCCGAGGAACAGGCAGAGCTGGCTGTGCCCACAGAACAAAGCCCAGCTCCCCCATTCCCTGTGCCTGCCCAGGCCAAGGGGTCACAGTGCTCTGCTGTGCAGAGCAAAAGGCTCCTCACAGCTCTCCTGCAGCACCAGTGGTTGTACCCCTCTCTCTGGTGCTCCTTAGCTGTTTGCTTTCTGGGTGGTGGCTTCTTCTTGGCTTTCTGGGTGTGACCCCAGTGACATTTGTTGCTGTTCTCAAGACCCTGGCCACTCCCTGCTCTGGGGTCTGCTGTGGCTG